AGTGCAAGAGACTGAAAAAGGAAAATCTATTTGACTACCGTATCATCTCATACATAAATACTCATTTATACTCTGACATTCCTATTTGATGGGACATAATTAGTGCAGTGTTAAACTTTTATAGATCATTCCAGAGGATATTTCGAGGCTCCTCAACAGTTTCAACAAACATTTTCCCGAATAACTAATTAAAATTGATTCCATAAATTCAAACACAGATTATCAAAAGAAACTACACCATCTATTCACCTATGTATGTAAAACTTGTGATCGGTGCAAAAGTATTCTGGACCATTGAGCCATTCACAAGGCTGAAGTTCCTCGGTGAACAGCGGCTTCGGCACGGTATACGACTTATCAGAAGTGCTCATCCACGTGCACTAACACCATTAGCTGCCACCGGCTTAGTGGTCCAGAGGTTAGGCCTTGGAAGTGTGTGATGTGTGAGCAGGAGTTTTGGATGCACATTACTGATGATTCCCAGTGCTTCCAGGTTTCTAATGATGGTCTAACATTGATTGATTCATATTTCAGAGAATTTTTAACTCATATGTATAGTATGTTCATCGAGTACTCAATGTCTTATGAATCTATCATCTAAGAGCACAGTCTATCAATTTTCCGCAGAGAATTAATTATTATCCCATAACTTCATTTTCTCTTAGATAAAACAACTAATCTTTTAGTACTTACCTAATTGTTCAGACTGTTCCATTGTTTTTTCCTGTTCTTGAAGTAATGATTTCTCTCGATAACTCATTATTTCCTCATATACTTTCATGTGTTCTTCACTTAATTTATACATACGTATTGATGAAACAGAATGACCAGTGCAAAATGATTTCACTGTGATACGATCACAATCTAACGGTTTAATATATCTGTTTGTTAGAAAAAAAAATGAAAAACAGGTAATATATACTACCCATAAATAAATTCAGTAGTTGTTAAAGAAAAGCTCAAATATTTTATGAGAGATTACATTATTAGTGACCCAAGATCTGACTTAAATTGGGGAAGAACGATTAATGATCTCTATCAAGGGTAAATATATTTAATTATCAGTCATGTTAATTACGTTAATTCATTTGTCACAAACTTTATTGTGTTCATAGATGAAATAATGAACTGGACCACCATTAAAAACCTGGAAACACTGAACGGTCTTTTTTTCCGAGTACGGAACGACTCAGAATTATGCATCCACGACACTTGCAGCATATAGGAATCGAACCTAGGATCTTAAGTTTCTCGTGCGAATGCTCAATCTCTGGACAGTTGGGTTAGTATCCAACGGAATTCATGGCTAACTTCAACCAATCCATGATTTATGCACGAACTTTATTCATACAGAATAAGTTCAGAACAGCTTATTCTTAGGAATCGTTACGGCGATTATACTTTTCATTTCAACATTCCAATCAGTATCATTTGTCATTCACAATAAAATTCTTAGATTACTTCATATTCAATGTCACTAATATGCTCTTCAATTATTATGCATGAAACTATTACCAGTTCACCTTAGTCGGTAAACGAGAGCGAAGACAAACGATCCAATGACACGATAGGCTAATCTAATCCAAGCGTCTTAAAGCCCCAACTAAGTAGAGGAAGAAGTCTTGGCGAGATGTAGAAAGTATATTCTACAGGCACCCAGAAAATATGAGGTTGACAGACACCCACTATCGAGTTTATTTATACATGACAGAAATGTCCTTGGGTGAGCCACAACAATAGCGTACTAAAATATTATTATCAACAAATAACAGTCAAGGATTTTCCTGCTGGGAAATGTAATCCCAAGTTCAACTGATCAGCCCATCCACGAAACCATAAAATCCTAAATTATGACCTTTATCAAGTGAGTTCTGGCGATCTAACGTCCCCAACAATCACTTTACTCTCTCTTTAGGGACTTTAAACTCCTGTACATAATGTAGTGAAGGAGAACACAGGTGAGGGCAACCGAATTGTATTTAGCGAAAATTACAGAGTTACTCAGTAAAATAGGAAAACCATATCGTAACCGTTAATTTGCAAATCTTGAATCCATCACTAATCCATTGTCTGACATTTCACTTATTCATGCGTTTCATACGAATTCCATTGTGTTCCCACTCTTCCTTTCTTGCTTGATCTTCTCCCATCTTCTGCTGCCAGACATTACGTTTACACTCGCGTCATTTACTACTTATAAGTAGCGCGCACCACAATAATAGTTATTATTTTTAAATAAATGACTTAAATTGGGTTAGTTCAAACAAATTATTTTACTCAGTTTAACCCATTTATATACATGTGTCAGTTGAATTCGTTCATAGATAATCAATACAGAATTGTAGTATTCCAGTCAACGCAATCTGACTACAATTGAACATCCAAATCCCACTGTATTTACCAATTCACATGTAACTGCGGAGAAAGTTACTTAGGGAGGACAGATCGCCGATTGGAAGACCGGATAGGTGAACATATTCCAAAATGGTTAATCAAATCCATGATTCATCAACCTATCAGCCCATCATCTCAAAATCGATCAAGAAACCTAGCCTCGTCCATTGCAAAACATCTAATGATGAGTGGTCATCAAATTGACCCAAAACCAGCCTTTAGAGAGTTGTGACATGTCATCAAAACCCACACACACTGAAACTAATCGAAGCTATCTTTTTTGGTCGGAAAAGTCCAACTTTATGTGTTCAAAAACAACCGTATGTTAACCTTTGTTTACCATGGTGGTTCTAGTGAGTGAATGTCATGCTAAATAAGAATTTTTGACCTTATCTTCAAAACTGTATTTACACAGAAATAACATGTTGCTTGTATGTAACTGACGAGAAAGCACGAAATGGTACTATTGTGGTGTGAGCTACTTATAAGTAGTATATGACGTGAGTGTCAACGTAATGTCTGGCAGCAGAAGATGTGGGGAGATCAAGAGAGGAAGAAGAGTGGGAACACAATGGAATTTGTATGAAATGCATGAATAGTAGTGACAATGGATTGATGTTTTGCAACAGGAACAGTCCAGTTCGATATGATGGACTGATATTTTGCAAATGAACGATTTACAATATGGTTTTCCTATTTTACTGAGTAACTCTGTAATTTTCGTTAAATACCATTCGGTTGCCCAACCTGTGTTCTTGTTCACTACACTATCTAACAAAATATGTCTTCTCATTTCTCTGTACAGTTGAGCACTTTAAAAAAAAACAGATTCAAACAAAAGTTTTCCATGTTTCTTACTACTCAATAAAGAAAATTCAATCTTGAGACAATAATACATCAAGGAGAAATAGAGATTTTTTGAAATTTTTGAAAAAAAACACTTACACATTCTCTAGTTTTTCTAGTGCTAATCGATTTTTCTCAGTTTCCCATGCTGTTTCCCGATAGACTAAATCAATTTCAGCTTCACGAGCTTTGAGTAAATCACATCGAATATGTGGAACTAAATTGAATGCCTTGATGGCAAATTTTTTTTTAAAAAAATAGTTTGTTAAAACATAGAATAGAAATGTATAATAACATGGGTTCAGTAAATTTTGATATAAAACAGAAAATCAAACATTCAAGGCGTTTTGAAAGTCATTGAAGAATATGATATCCACACTAAAATCATCAAGTAAGAAGAATAATTCTCTAGTGACTTAACAACTACATAGACTGACTGCATGCGCTTAAGTATTTTGAGATGGAAGAGGAAATTTGTAGGTCAGGTAGATAGATGATTATGGTGGGGTTTCGTTTAGTGAGCTAAATGTTCTAGTTGTAGAGCTTTCAGTGTTCTTCTTCTCAACAACATGATCAGCATGAACTGCTGATAGATGTGAGATAGTCAAATTTCTACGCGTAGCTTGTTCCGTTGAACTAGGTCTTAACTGAATCATTTCAATTAATCCTATGTAAACCAAAGGCCAAAATGACAAAGGAAGGAGAACCGAACATCCTACACAAAATGAACTGTCACTACAAAGGACAAAGTGGACGTGCTCTTCAGCTTCGTCTGCGTGAACACCATGACATTTCTTCCCTTACATCAACACATAAGGACCATTATGAACATACATTCGATTGGCACAATGTTGAAATACTGGATAGATGGTGTATAAAGAACACTAGAGAGAATGTTTAGAAGCTTGGCACTAACAAGTCAATCACCATTCAACAAACACATCCACATTGACCTTATTTATCAACCAATCAGAACTATCGTAGACAAACATCGGATCAAGAAACAGGTCGATCAAATCGGGATACAACGACAGGTTTAATGCCAGTATTAACCAATCAAGGCCTAGGTCATTAGAACAAGCTACGAGTCATATGTGGAGAAAATCCAATACTGGACTCAGTCTTCATCTGAACATATTGCCGTTCAAAAATCCAAATTAGTAAATCGTGGTAATAACACAAAAATAACTCACTTTAGTAAAACAAATAAAAATGGGAACTGAAAACCTGTTGAAACCAGTGAAGAATATGATATTCACATTAAAATTTCAGTAGACGTTAGAAATTGAACCGTTAGGTAAGAGGAGTCATACTTTAGTGACGTAACTAACCACATAAATTGATTGAATATGTTCATATTTTTAAATATGAATGGTTAATCAGTGATATTGAACATATAACTTGCATGCTTCATGAATGCAGATGTATAAAATATCAGAGAATAAACGCTCTGTATTAGTTATTTTCAGGTTTAAGTTATCAAAAATAGTGTTGAGATTACAGTTTCATACATACAGTTTCTATTATAAAATGTGCTCACTTGTGACTAGATACGTGAGGAGATTTTTAGTGGTTTGGTGAGAAGCCGTGACTGATGGAGTTCAGCACTGTTGGGTGTAGGTAGTAACCACCGAAGACAATAGGTGAGGTTGCTCAAAACCTTTGATGTCCTGGTTTCCACAACTAACTCCATTCTATCTATTCTCTGGAAAGTACAGTGGTGAGTAACAGAATAAAGAACAGTTTCTGATATTATACTTCAGATCTTTACTCCAGCAACTTCTCACTTGGTTGATTAATATTACACAGAATTTTGTTTATAACTTCAAAAAAGGGTCAATTTTTCAATTCTGTGAGTCAATTCTTCATTTAAACGAACCAATGAACAGATAACTTAATCAGAATTCACAGAATACGTGTATAATTAACAATCCTGAAAGGTTGAATAAAAAATCAAGTCCTGAATAAATATGTAGACTTCGGATCCATTGACCAGACAACATCAGCAATAACCTATTTTGACAAAGAACACATCAGATTACAGAGGAGGAAGAAATCAGAAAGAAGTGAAGGGAGTGTATAGGACACACATTGAGGAAAGCACTCAACTGCGTCACATGACAAGCCCTCACTTGGAATCCTCAAAGACAAAGGTAAAGAGAAAGGCTAAGCAACACATTACTCCTAGAAGTTTGGACATAAAATTGAACAGAACTGGACAGGCAGGCTCAGGCAGAGTAGGTTGGAGAATACTGGTCGGCAGCTTATACTCCCTTGGGAAGTAACAGGCGTAAGTAAGTAAGTAAGTAAGTAGGTAAGTAAGTAAGTAAGTAAGTAAGTAAGTAAGTAAGTAAGTAAGTAAGTAAGTAAGTAAGTAAGTAAGTAAGTAAGTAAGTAAGTAAGTAAGTAAGTAAGTAAGTAAGTAAGTAAGTAAGTAAGTAAGTAAGTAAGTAAGTAAGTAAGTAAGTAAGTAAGTAAGTAAGTAAGTAAGTAAGTAAGTAAGTAAGTAGGTAAGTAAGTAAGTAAGTAAGTAAGTAAGTAAGTAAGTAAGTGCATAAGTAAGTAAGTAAGTAAGTAAGTAAGTAAGTAAGTATATATATATATACACAGATGCTTCACTCAAACTTCAAATTATTCATCAGTTTCACATTGTACACTTACCTCCGTGGTTAAACGAATTCTTTCTGGTAAATTATTATTTTGTTCTTTTAATTTCTTAAAACGTACTTTTAATTCAGTTAATTTTTGTCTAGTTTCAGCTTTTTTTTGTTCAGCTAATTCAATAAGATGATCATGTTCAGTTTTTTGTTTCATTTCTTCAATAGTATACGCTTTAGGATCAGTGATATCGTCTACTTTAATACTGGTGTCCTGTGAAAAATATTCAAGTTATAATGAAAGTAAGTACAATCAAGTACAGTAAAAATAGTTAAATACAACAAAGAGATGACATTTGATTGACGAATACCATTAGAAATCTGGAAGCATTGAAAGACAGCTGTTTTGTCCTAATGTATGGGACTCATTAGCTCAGCGCGCATCCACCACTCCTGCTACTCACAGGATTCAAAATCCAACACATTTGGTCTTATGCACAAACGCCTTACCTCTATACAACTGACCTGGTGGTATCTAACGAATAACGAGAGTTGTGAGTGCGCACTATCTAGTGATCATTATAAAATGAATTGGATAAATAATGTCACAATAGGATAGGTGTAAAATTTTTGAGTTTCAACTGGAATCAGTGAACCGATCACTGTTTACATACACACTAATACACGTCAGAAAAAGTTTACGTGCAAAAGTGTCTAAAATGGAGCTGAAAGAAATGAATCCCATTTAATTGTTCTCTTTATGAAGGATCATTTTTTCACTTCAATCACTGATTGTCCCAATCTATAAGAAAGGACAAAAGTCTTCTTGTGACAATCACAGGGGAATAAGTCTAACTAATATAGTATCTAAAATATTGGCCTCAATAATATTTCGACGCTTAACGAAAGCTCGTGAAGAGCAGTCTCGAGAAAACCAGGCTGGTTTTCGACCTGGACGTGGTTGTATAGACCACGTCTTCACACTACGACAGGTCCTGGAACACAGACACACATTTAGGCGTCCTACAATAGTTGTTTTCCTGGACCTAAAAGCGGCATTTGACTCAGTGGATCGTGCGGTTCTGTGGCAGTGTCTGTCATTGAAAGGTGTGCCAAAGAAGTACATTAACCTCATACAAGCTCTCTACTCGAACACCACTGGTCGAGTGAGAGTTTATGGCGAGCTGTCACCGGAATTCTTTACTTCAAGTGGTGTCCGTCAGGGATGTCTACTCTCTCCATTCTTGTTTAATTTTATCATAGACTTGCTCTTAGAAATAACCTTATCCTTTGACTGACTGAACTCCTAAAAAGATAATTGAACATAAGCCTAAGTGGGATAACTGCTTTTTTCTACTTTGAAAGTTGTTAATTCATTGAATTTTACAATCTAAAACTTCTTAGTAGGAGAAAATTTCTAGCTCATGTGGATAATTTTAATAAAGAGTTTCGTTCTCTGAGTTGGTGATGTTTTGATTGTGGAGCTTTGGTTGTTCTTCTTCTGAACAACATCAACATCAGTACAAATTTTAGATAGAGAAGTGAAGTATTCGAGATTCTCCGTGCATGACTTGTAGCTTGTCCTGCTAACCTCGATCTTGATTGGTTGTTGTCGACCTTAATCCTGTCGTTGTTTGCACCTTTGTTTTGATTGTATCCCTTCCACTTTGTGGATGGCCTCTTCAGCTTCGTTTACATGAACACAAATTAGCAGTCACACGCCACGACAACGCTTTGCTTATATCAATACACACTGACAATTATGGACACACATTTGATTGGAACAATGTGGAAATACTGGGCAGGGGGGAGGACAAAGAACACTAGAGAATTTTTAGAAGCTTGGCACACCCAAGTCAATCAGCAATCAACAAACACATCGACATTGACTCAATTTATCAATCAATCAGAAAAAGTCATAGACAAACATAGAATCAAGAAACATATCAAAGTGGGATAAAATCAAACTAAAGATGTAAACAACGACAGGTTTAAGGTCGACAACAACAACAACCAATCAAGTTCGAGCCTCGAGTCATCCACAAAGAATTTCGAATACTGGATGCAGTCTTCATCTAACTTCATTGCTGTTAATTAGACAGTTAATTAGATAGAGAACCAGCTGTTTCTTACTGAGGATACAACTCCTTAGTAGTGAACAATGTGGATAATTATCTCTGCTAGATCGTATTGATTTTCCGCAAAACCATGTTAATAATATGTTATGACTTAAGTGCTTTACTTTCTTATTAAATAGTTAGTTCTAAATAGTATATAACTTCAACAAATTGTTTGAGTTACACATTTTTGAAACCATGAATCGACCAATGTTAGACCACCATTAGAAACCTGGGAGCACTGGACCGCCGTTTCGTCCTGGTATGGGACTCCTCAGCAGTTCGCATCCACGAATCCAGCACTCCGCAGGATCCGAACCCAGAACCTGCGATATTGTGCGCGAACGCCCTAACCGTTAGACCACTGAGCCGGTATCTAACGGTGTTAATGTCTAACTTGTTCGCGTACAATACCGAAGGTGCTGGGTTCGAATCCTGCGGGGTGCAGGAGTCATGGATGCGCACTGCTGAGGAGTCCCATACCAGGACGAAACGGCCGTCTTTCAGTGCTTCCAGGTTTCTAATGGTGGTCTAACAACATTGGTCGATTCATGGTTTCAAAAATGTGTAACTTAACAACCTTCACAACTCCGTAATGTAAATCGTTTGAGATTTAAACAACTATAGATAATCTGTTACACATGAGAATTTAAAGTTCCTAGTAAATATCTTTATTTGAAATTTTCACACTCATACATGAACTAACAACTTACAAAAGTCGATGGAATTCGTGCACGAAATTCTTTAATTTCTTTATCTTGCATTTCTTCTGTCATAAATTCACAGACAAATAGGGTACCATCACTTCCAATGCTTAAAAGAAATCTTTTTTCAGTTCAGTGAAATAAAAAAAAAACAGATAGAAATAAAACTTATGAATTCAGAAATACATTGTGGGGAGGGGGACTATCACAAATACAGCACAAGAGAATCATGATCCCGGACTAGGGATCCGGGATTGAGTCCTGGTCGTGGTCATAAAACGTTACATATAATGCGTATTTATACATTTTGGTCGAATAGGAAACATCATCGAAGTCTGTGAAATTGACAGTTAATACGACCAATAGGAAGCAATATTTGAAATGACATTGATAGTCAGGACAACCAATAATAAACTATCCTCTAGATTAAACGAGGAGGAGAAAGCTAAAGAACAAATGACGCTGAGAATTGGAAGCAAACGCTAAAAGAATGCATAGCAGCGATCGTGTTGAAATAGAAAGGAAGATGAAGGACAGAGTAGGTTGGAGAATGCTTATCAGCTGCCTTTGCTCCATTAGGCGTGACAGGCATAATTAAGTAAGTAAGTGTTGATGTAGAATGAACAAATGGATATTTATGTCAGATTAGAATTTATCAGACATGATGAATAGAGTCATATCGGTAGTTGTCGACTGCCTGGTTGGGGTCCGTGAGATGATAATAATCGATGGTTAGAAACCTTGAATGACATGGCTCAAAACTGTTTGCAATGGGGCCGGTGCATTCAGTCTTTGTGTCCTCTAAAATCCTAATTTTCTGGATTCTTCAACCCCCTCTAGTTTTGTCTTTCTAAACTTATCTCACTGGATCATACATCTTGAATAATATCTTCTAATGCTAACCTTTCCGATTACTTCTAATACCTTTACTACCTCTACTACTATTGGATTTGAATTGATAATTAGATGTCTCTGTGCTGATGTGGTATGGCAACATGAACTGATGTACTCACGTACAAAGTTCGACGTTGCATCTGACTGACTGACTGACTGACTGGCACATGATGAATAAGGAACTACACAAGAATATTTCATTGAAATCATAAAATGAATAATGTGAGACGAGAATTCGAAACTTGTAAGCATTGTTCTAGTGTGAGACAAAGCTGCAGTGTGTATTCGTTACCCCTCAAGCATTACATTCATTCTCATGCTTGGACGAATAACCTTTTAACCACTAAGTCGGCATCTAACGCTTTTAATGTCTAACTCAAAATCACGCCATGATATATGGCTTTCTCTTCAGGTTTCTAATGTTGGCCTAACATTGATCAGTCGATAATTTCACTCAACTAAAACTAAAGTCAAACAATTATCATCAAACTTACTTTTCATCATATGTCAAAGCTATCCGATTAATACGTCCACGTTGATTATCATGTAATCGATAAATCCAATATCCTTCAAAACTTTCTAAATCAAATGATTTTTTCAACAACAGTACACAGATTACACCATCATTAAAACCAAGTAATAGACGTGAACCAGACTGAGTATACATCCAAAATGTAATACATGTATTTTTTCTATTCGGTATACTGATCGCTTTCATTGGTTCTGTTGGAATAATTCGATCTGTCAGTGCGATCCGATTTGGATCGATATTTTCCAAGTCGATCTCTTCATCATTGCTACTGCTACTTCTTGTCACGTCATCATCATCATCAGCAGCATCGTCGTCCTCAGCAGTAGTAGCCTCAACAGCAGCAGCGACAACATCTTCTGGCAGGTCTAAATCCATTAAAACCCTATCGGTAGTTGGCTGATTCACCTGCATTTGTCTTTGTAAGTTTTCTTTCATCCTATCGACAGCCTCATCGATTGTTAATAATGGACCGCCTAATTCACATTTATATAAATAACCACTATCGAAATCATCCTAAAAAAGTTTAGTGGAGAAAAATTAATCATAGGTGAATAAACAGATAACTACAATTAATAATAACTAAACTTTGTAAACATTATTGATACAGATTTTGTTATACTAGACAGCGGGAAGTGGATTGAGGAAAGCACCAAAACAGTGTCACAAGACAAACACTCACCTGGAATTCTTTAAGGCCAAAGGAAAAGAGAAAGGCTAAGGAACACATTATGCCGAGAAATGGAGACAGACATGTGAGTAGCGAAGAATGAACAAGGCGCAAAACAGAATGAGTTGATCAGCGGCCTATGTTCGACTGGGGGTAACAGGCGTGAGTTATTACATCTGGTGACAAACACAACTTTGCAGTATTGATTTTTAATTTGAAGGACTTTAGTTAGTATAACACTAGTTCACTGAAAAACTCAATTCAAAGTAATCCAGTATGCTTTTAAACTGTGCAACATGAGGACAAGTTGAAGTTTCGTTAGTAAAACAAATCAGTTAGATTTCTTCTGATGTGATTGATTATTTCACGTGTTCTGTGATTACTGTTTATTGTAAATTATGTTACTATATTTCAGTTTGGAAAATATTTCTGTTCATTCGAACTTAAAACAGTTAATTTAGTTAGCTAAATTCAATTATGAGTATTACGATACTAGTGAGTCAATTTGATATCGTTACACTTGTGATATGTGTTATGAGAACTATTGCATTGGTTATTTTTATTATAGAACGGTGAAGATTACTGAATTTCATTGAAATCATGTATCGATCATTTTGCTCAATAGTGACTAGCTTCATACAGAAATTCTCGGAGTTCTAGTGGATTTCAACGTTGTCGGGTTTAGGCAGTAACCGCTGAAGATAATGGGTGAGATTGTGCAAAATCCTTAAATTGATCAGAGTTAGACACTAACAGTGTTTGGTGTAGGGGTTAAGTGTTCGCGTGGGAGATCGAATATCCTGGGTTCAATTCCGACTATCCAGGGTCATAGATACACACCGTCCATGATCCTCATACTAGGTACTGGTTAAACGTCAAAAGACCTTATCCTATCAAATAGGATCATAGCATTCATTTCCGGTGAATTCCGGAATAGAAGTCAATAAGAGTGAAGGAAATCACATATTCAATTGTCAATAGACTGTATTTGTTTGTCCACAATGAATGGCTAATCATATTTTCACTTTCCCTAACACACATCAGGGTTTGAGGATATTGATTATGACTATGACAAGAACCGACCGACTTCAGTTAGACATTTTGTCAACAATCGAGTAAAAACTATCGTTCGCTTATATCGTTTGTACAACTCCTGCTCCAAACTCATTGCTGCAAAACTATGTCTAAATTTCATTTACATTTTGATTAGTAAATGTCTATTAAATACTGAATGACCTTGAATGAAATCATAACGCTTTATTGGAAACCTACTTCACATCAACCCGAAAATGATACTTATGAGCTGAGTTAGATAGATAACTTTTTCACTAACAGAAATTGATTTGTGAAAGCTTCAGTGTTATTACACACTCACCAAATTGATCTGAACATTTGAACAAGTTCTCATAACTCCGCATGGAACTATCAAGTCAGTTTTTACTGATCTAATAATAAATCCATTCTTTTAAAAGGAAATTGTGACTGTCGATACATATATCTCTTGAATGCCGTTGTAATCGTACGTCTGTACACCTCATATTTACTAGTGTGTGTACCCATAGGCCAACGCAGTTCTCCTTGTCTCGCTACATGTTATATATTCTGAGTCTTATTAGAACTTTTATCGAGTAATATTTCGAATAGGCATATCTGCCTTCGATAATTCCTATCTGTTCACTTCAGCCTATTGAAGTGAACTTATGAAGCATCCGTAACTGACTGATACTTATTGACAAAAAAAGCTATACAGTGTATGTACATGGAATGTCTATGTTGACTAGATCAGTTAAAAATTCGTGAACACATAACACATATTGTTACGCCTGCACGTAAACACGTCAACTTCAGATATACTTGAACTATTACGAGTTTACCTTAGTAGGATAGAGGATCCGGTGACACGACATGCCACTGAAATCTCATTATCCCAACCCCCAATATTGAGTTAAAATAAAAAGACTTGAATGTGAAGTAGAACTTGTATTCTACAAGCATCCAGAAAGTACGAGGTCCGAGTCCAGAAGAGAATCAGGATCCCAGACTACGGATCCGGGACCGGGTTCTGGTCATAAAACGTTACAGTTAAGACGACCAAGAGGAAGCAACATTGGAGCACGTGACATTGATATCTACTAGGACTACCATAAAATTGACCAGTCGGAATTAACCAATAGGCATTGACTAATAAAATTCTCTTAGGATATTGGATGAATATATCCTAACACACACAGTTATCAAAAACTCACTAAAGACATCCAAAATTGATTAGGTGCATTTTTATCCGCACATCCATAGACTATCGGTGATGGACTAGGTGGATAAGTAGGAGACCAGTCAGCAATTTCTGCTTGCAGAGCTTGATAAATCATTTCTTCCTCTAAAAGAAACAAAAACAATCAGTTATATGTAACTGATATGCTTAAAAGCTATTACGAGTTCACAATAATCGGCAAACGAGAGCAAAGATCAACGATGCGGTGGTGTGGTGTGTGCTACTTATACGAACGATATAAGTAGTATAAGAAGGGACGTGAAAGAAGTCTCACGGTCAGAAGAGGAAAACGGAAAGCAAATGGAGCAAAAGCAAGAAGTAAATTGAGTACCAACAGGAAGTAAAGGAAGCAGCAGCAGGAATGGAAGAAGGATGGAGCGTTGGAAATCATGACTCAAAGATGGTGTGCAAATAGAGTGTTCAATGTAATGTGTTCGTTTTTAATTGACTCAAAGTGTAAATTTGCATAATACAATCTTCCGCGCCTGCCTCAGTCTTCTCAATGGGACCCGATAAGCTACTCTAATCCGAATGTCCCAGGCCCCACTAACTAGAGCAAGAAGTCTTAATATGGCGTAGAAAGTGTATTCTACAAGCACCTAGAAAAAATGAGGTCACTAAGCACACAAATCAAGCTTATTTATACAATGATAGAAACACTCTTGGGAGAACCACAAAAATAATGTACTAAAATAATCCATCAACCAGTGACAGTTAAGGATTTTACGGGTGGGAAATATAAGCTGAAGGTCATCTAAGCGTCTTTGGTGTGAAAACATAGAAATTCAAAAATTAGGACTTTTTCCAAATGAGTTGTGGGGATCTAACGTACCCAACAGTAATAATAGTTATATATTTGATTTATGGTAGTCAACAAATAAAAAGTGTTAAGAATTTTACAATTAAACATTTACAGATCATTAGATCTTTCATGTCTTTCGACTAGGATGGAGGAGGTCGAAGCTACACAAACCCAGTATCCTATTAAGTCCAATTTTGATTGCTTCGCTTCTGAGGACTTCAACACAAGTGATCGAATGAAATTTCAAGAATATTGAAACATTCACAGGATTCATCCAATCATTTCACTAAATCCTAAGGGGATTCAAATCAAAAACGATGAATTGATGAAATCCTCCTCACTTCAATCGAATCAGGTCTAGCGAAATAACGTTACGTTCTTAATGAAGTTACTGAATATTTATAAGTAGTATAACTGATATGAAATGAAAAAATATACGGAGAAAATTTGGAGATCAAAGGCGTAAACAGAAATAACGAATCAATACATTACCATAAAGTGAAACGGTTAAGTTTAAATATTCGTGTTAATTTACGAAATATATTCCGATTAGAGGAGCGCTAAAAGGATGGGTGGAAAATTCTGAGATAAGTGGTCAATTTAGGTGAATACATGTAGCAACTTTCAACCAAAACCAAAATCAGGATTTTCAATACAAATGTCATGATAGTTCTACTGTATGCAGCGGACACTTGGAAAACTACGAAAACCATCATCCAGAAGATACAAGAATTTATTAACAGTTGCCTAAGCAAAATACTTCGGATTCGTTGGCCAGACACCATCAGCAACAACCTACTGTGGAAGAGAACAAACCAGATTCCAGTGGAGGAATAAATAAGGAAGAAGCGGTGGAGTGAGTGGATAGGACACACACTACGAAAAGCACCTAACTGTATCACGAGACAAGCCCTCACATGGAACCCTCAAGGCAAAAGGAAAAGAGGAAGGCCAAGGAACACATTACATCGAGAAATAAAGATATGAGAGGAATGAACAAAAATTGGACAGAACTGGAAAGGGAAGCCGAGGACAGAGTTGGTTGGAGAAAACTGGTTGGCGGCCTATGCTCCATTGAGGGTAACAGGCGTAAGTAAGTAAGTAAGTATGTAGCAAGATCTAAACTAACACTCTGGTGTTTTAATGAACTCCCCAGTGAGAAGTCGAGTACTTCGTGCTCTCCGTTTCGCATATAATCTAACATGTGAATACATGTCATTTTGATAGTTTTATGTTAAAAGATCAAAAGGTAACTAACTCATTAAGCATGTGAAGCATTATATTCTGACTGGTTTATTTGAATAATCATCATATGACATTCAAAATGACTGCCTATCACTTTGTTTCTTTCAATGAAATAAAAATTTGCGCTATCTCTCCCATCTTATTATGAAATTCAGTGAGTCAGATACAACACATTTAAATACGTACGCATATCAGTTCAAGTTGTCATACCACACATTAGCACAGACAGAGCGAGTTGTCAATTCAAATCCCATAGTAGTAAAGGTAGCAGAACTATTAGCGGTAACGGAGAGGATTAGGATTCGAAAATATGATTCAAGACGTAGAATCCAGTGAAATAAATTTTAAAAGAGACTGGATAAAGGTGATTAGGAATTCAGAAAATTAGAATTTAAGAGAAGACAAATAATGGATGCACTTGCACTATTACAAATGATTTAGAGTCATTTCATTCAAAGACTCTAACCGTCACTTACTTAATGCCTCATGGTCTCCAACCAGGTAGTTTACACCTACTAACATAGCTCATTCCTGTTATCAGTTGCTTCAAGGATTTATGCCATGTTTTGGTCTGACCACCCCGACACCGGTGGTTGTTCATACATAACACATGTTCCAACCACTTCAACTGATAAACATTCACTACTTCATCAATTGATCTGTCAGTCATCTATACCTAGTACCCGTTTCCTAATATCGGCATTGCTTCCATGGTGGTCTCATGCGATACAAGCAATGAAATTACACACTAAAGTCACTTGAAAACATTAAAGGTAGAAAGAGAAGGATTGAGCGCGAGCGAGAGAGAGACGCTAGATCCCCAGAACTCGCTTGATAAATACCTTATCTTGGATTTTATGTTCTCGAGCATGGGCTGATCAGTTGACCTTGAGATTTGATTTCCCACCAAGGAAACCCTTGGCTGTGATTGGTTGCTGTGTGTGTATTTTAGTGTACTGTTTTTTTGTGACTGTCCAAAGGATGTTACTATGATGTATAAATAAACATGATTTGTGTGCTTGAATTCATTGTTTGTAGAATATACTTTCTACGCTATATCAAGACTTTTTTGTCGTCAATTCCTTCGGGGCAGCGGATCAGAATAGCCTACCGTCGTGTCACTGGTTCATTGTCTCACTCTCGTTTATCAACTAAGGTGAACCAGTTTCAAGCATAGTTTCAAGCATACTTAGTGATGATCACATAACCGATAAACCAAATGATAAACTAATATTTACCATGATCTAATCTTTCTTTATCTTCATCTGTTTCCGGTTGTAATAGAGCATTTGATTCACGTTGAGTTTGTCTTGCTTGCTTTTCTAATTCATATTGAGCCAATTTATTGATTGTATCTTCTTCATGTATTAAACGTGATTTAATACTCAATAAATTAAAAGATTTCATAATTTTAATACTGGGCAATGAAAATGTCTTTGAATGATCATAAATATCATTTTCTGTTGGACAGTGAACCTAATAGAAAAAAATAAAATGTATAAAAACATATTTAAAATGGGATTGAACCGGCCATTTTTTATCGTTTTAACTCTATTTATAGGCCTTTAGTTTTTAATTGAATTATTCTCTTGTCTTGTAATATTTATCTGTTACATAAGCAATCTTACTACTTACTTACTTACTTACTTACTTACTTACTTACTTACTTACTTACTTCGCCACTTACTTACTTCGCCACTTACTTACTTACTTACTTCGCCACTTACTTACTTACTTACTTACTTACTTACTTACTTACTTACTTACTTACTTCGCCACTTACTTACTTACTTACTTACTTACTTACTTACTTACTTCGCCACTTACTTACTTACTTACTTACTTACTTCGCCACTTACTTACTTACTTACTTACTTACTTACTTACTTCGCCACTTACTTACTTACTTACTTACTTACTTACTTACTTCGCCACTTACTTACTTACTTACTTACTTACTTACTTCGCCACTTACTTACTTCGCCACTTACTTACTTACTTACTTACTTACTTCGCCACTTACTTACTTACTTACTTACTTACTTCGCCACTTACTTACTTACTTACTTACTTACTTACTTACTTCGCCACTTACTTACTTACTTACTTACTTACTTACTTACTTACTTACTTACTTACTTACTTCGCCACTTACTTACTTACTTACTTACTTACTTACTTACTTACTTACTTCGCCACTTACTTACTTACTTACTTACTTACTTACTTACTTCGCCACTTACTTACTTACTTACTTACTTACTTACTTACTTACGTCTGTTATCCCCAGTGGTGTATAGGCTGCTGATAATAATTCTACCACCTACTCTGATCTGAGCGTTACTTTCCAGTTCTGTTTAATGAATATTCAGTCTTCACATGTCTCTGCGCAATTCTCGTAATGATTTGTTGCTTGACCTTCCACTTTTCCTTTGACCCTGAGGGTTCCAAGTGAAGGCTTGTGTCCTATCCACTTTCAGTGCTTGTTCTTGATTTACTCCTCCACCGGAGTCTGGTTTGTTCTCTCTCACAGTAGGTTGTTGTTGATGATGTCTGGTCAACGGATCAGAAGTATTTTGCGTAGACAACTGTTAATGAATACTTGTATCTTCTGGGTGATGGCTTTTGTGGTTTTTTCCAAGTTTCCGCTTCATACAGTAGAAGTGTCTTGATGTTTGTATTGAAAATTGTGACTTTGTTATTTGTTGACAGTTGTTTGGAGTTCCAGATATTTTTCAACTGTAGAAATACAGCCTTTGCACTGCCTTCACATATGTATCAGATCCACCTTGCCCATTAATGATGCTGCCCAGGTGTGTAAAGATTTCTACCTCTTCCGAAGCTTTTCCATCAAGAGCAATTTGGACAGTGCATGTTCTATCGTATCGAAGAATCTGGCCTTCCCTATGGTGTATGCTGAGACCTACTGCTGCAGAGGCTGCTGCTGCTACACTGTCCGTCTTCATCTGCATTCAATGCTGGGGGATAGAAATAATAGATCATCTGTGAAGTCTAGGTCTTATGGTTGCATCCGAGCTGTTCACTACATTTCGTGCTTCCTCCAAGATGTTGACTTCTTCACAATCCAGTCGACCGTCAGAACAAAGAGAAAAGATGAGAGTAAGCAACTTTGTCTGACACCGGTTTCGAAGAACGATTTTTCAATGCAATTCATCATAAGAATTCCAGCGGAGGTGGAAATTAGGATAAGGCCCCTGGGAGTAGATAGGATATACTTTTCAGAAATCACCTAATTGCGTCACAAGAGAAGCTTTCACTTCGAACCCACAAGGACAAAGGAAAAGTGGAAGGCCAAGGAACACATTACGCCGAGAAACAGAGACAGACATGAGAAGAATAAACAAAAATTGGACAGAAACCTAAAGGAAAGCCCAGGACAAAGTAGGTTGGAAAATACTGGTCCGCGGTCTTATGATCAATTGAGGATAACAGGCGCAATATATATATATATATATATATATATATATATATATATACAAATTCTTCTTGACCAATTACCAATACACAGTTTTAGTTGTAAGCAAGTGAATTTCTCACTTGACCACTTCAGGCCGACTTAGTATCATAAAAACTCAGTGGTGAGATAATATGTAACAGCAAAATGATTGAGAATGTTTTATTGCTGACTGTTCTAAAAATTGTCCAATAAAAATGATTTTCATCAAGAGTTTTGGAAGGTTTTAATCTGAACTAACAACTGTGTAGAAAAGAAAGTAATCATGGACAGATGAAATTCTAATCTAACTCCTAGAAATGTCGAACAGAAGCTTAGCTTGATAGAAATCCGAACAATTATGCTATTTTGTTGATAAATTTTATCTGTTTCAAATAATCAGTGGAAGTAAAGAAAAATGTATCAGTGAATTCAATATTTTGAAGTCAAGAATCAATGATTGTTTGGCTGCCATTAGAAACCTGGAAGCACTCAACGGCTGTTTCGTCCTGGTATTGGACTCATCAGTGGCAATGCACATCCATGACTTCTTCTACTTAAAGGATTCGAAACCAGGGGCTTCGTTGTTGCGCATGTGACCAGTGGAGTTCAACTTTTTCGGATGTAGGCAGTAACTACCGGAGACAATGGGTGAGGTTGCACAAAATCCTTAGATTAATCACAGTTAGATATTAGCACCGTTGGATGCCGATAACCGCAGTGGTCCAGAGGTTATGCGTTGTCGCGCAAGGCTGAAGGTCTTGTGTTTGACTCGAGCAAGCGGAGGTTGTGGATGCGCGACGTTGATGATTTCCATGTTAGGACGGAAGAGCCGTCTAGTGCCTCCAGGTTTCTGATGGTTGTCGTCTAACAATGATTCATTCATATTTTCAAGATAAAACTACCCTCTCCAAAATACTCTCAGGCAGAATTAGCGATCGTTCACAACGAACATGAAAGATTATGATGATTTGTGAATAAACAAGGCATAGAGTTATATGAGATCGAAGAGAGACTATACGAGAATTTAATACTACCACTGGTAGGTTCGTTTATTGATTACACCATACCATCTAACTTTCTATACTTGAATAAATCGTATCTCAATCTATGAATAAAAGCTTTGATATTTTCGACGAAAAGTTAAGTAACAAGGTTCATAGTTCATTCATAGTATTTTCTATAAATTATTTCCCGATATTGCAAAGAATTACTGATAATTAATATTATATTCAGTGTCATCGTTACGCTTGAACGTAAACACGTCAACTCGATATGCTTGAACTATTACGAGTTTACTGCCTAGTCGGAAAACGAGAGGGAGGATCTAGGATCCGGTGACACAACATACTACTCAAATCCGATTATCCTAACCCCCATATTGAGTAAAAATAAGAAGACTTAATATGAAGTAGAACCTGAATTCTACAAGCATCCAGAAGGTACGAGGTTTGAATTCATAAGAGAATCAGGATTCCGGACTAGGGATCCGGGACCGGATCCTGGTCCTGATCATAAAACGTCACATATAATGCGTATTTATAGATTTTGTTCGAATAGGAAACAGCATCGAAGTCAGTGACATTGACTGTTAAGACGACCAATAGGAAGCAACATTTGAAGTGACATTGATAGTCAGGACAGCCAATATGAAACAACATTGAAGTACATGACATGGATATCTACTAGGACGACCATAAAATTGACCAATAAGAATTAACCAATATGAATCGACCAACAATTCTCTTAGGATATTGGATGAATATCCTAACAGTCATAAACCAAATGTTTAATTTTTACAAAAACTATACAGCACTATTTTCATCAATCTCACTTCACAGTCACAAAGTATTATAGTAAGGATAGTTAACTAGTACTAGTACTGTTGCCCCATTCATTGACAGACCGATATCACACCTACATGGATGATGTGCCTCGAAGTAAACAATGTTAGATTCGAGTCTCAAGAGCGATAAAGCCTCAAATCGGCTCAAATAGATAGACATCGTGTATACCAATTGATTATAACAAAAAAAAATAATCATGTCATTCATTTTTAAAAATTAAAACTTACAGTTAATACACAACTATTTTCTAAATAAACAATAATTTCATTGATTTCATGAGAATTCACTGTGTACCATTCTAATCGGACAACTTTGTCATAAACATTGACAAAACCAATCGGTGTTAAATGTGTATTGTGCACGTTGAAAAAGAAAATTGTTTCATCTTTACTCTGTAAAAAATTATTATTATTATTATTGTAACAGAATAATGTAATTAGAATTTTTGTGTCATAATAACATTAGTTACTTACTTACTTACGCCTGTTACCCCCAATGGAGCATAGGCCGCCAACCAGTTTTATCCAACCAACTCTATCCTGGGTTTCCCTTTCTAATTCTGTCCAATGTTTGTTCATTCCTCTCATATCTTTCTCTATTTCTCGGCGTAATGTGTTCCTTCGCCTTCCTCTTTTCCTTTGACCCTGAGGGTTCCATATGAGGGCTTGTCTCGTGACGCAGTTCGGTGCTTTTCGTAGTGTGTGTCTTATCCACTTCCACCACTTCTTCCTGATTTCCTCCTCCACTGGGATCTGGTTTGTTCTCTCACACAGTAAGTTGTTGCTGATGGTGTCTGGCCAACGAATCCGAAGTATTTTGCGTAGACAACTGTTAATAAACACTTGTATCTTCTGGATGATGGCTTTCGTAGTTCTCCAAGATTCCGCTCCATACAGTAGAACTGTCTTCACATTTTTATTGAAAATGCTGATTTTGGTTTTGGTTGAAAGTTGTTTGGAGTTGCAGATATTTTTCAACTGTAGAAATGCAGCCCTCGCTTTGCCAATCTGCGCCCTCACATCTGCATCCGATCCACCTTTCTCGTCGATGATACCGCCCAGATATGTAAAGTTGTTAATGTCCTCCAAGGCATCTGCATCGAGAGTGATTTGGTTGGTGCATATTGTGTTGCATAGGAGAATTTCGCTTTTTCCTGTATGTATGTTGGGACCTGTTGCTACACTGGTCGTCTTCTCTTGCATTTGTTGTTGCGTGTGCGATAGAAGAGCCAGATCATCTGCGAAGTCCAGATCGTCCATCTGCGTCCTAGCTCATAATGACATACCGTGAAATATATGACTGTCAACTATAGAATTCAATGATTGTTAGGTTCCCGTTGAAATCACATGCAGATCAATGTTAGACTACAATTGGAAACCTTGAGGAGGTGGTAGTGATCTACTAAAGACAATGAATGGAGGTTATACAATATTCTGAATGGATTGTAGTTAGATATTAACATGGCTGGACGCTGAATCACAAGTTTAAAGGTTATGGAGTCATAGATTCACACTGCTGATGAGTCCCATACTAGGATGAAACAGCCGTTGAGTGCTTCCAGCTTTCCAATGTTATTTTAACATTGATCAGTTCATGATTTTTGTGAAATTTTACTGATTGTCAGTGTTTTTTTGGGAAAAATGATCAGGTCTACTCACATTAACACATGCAATAAAAAAAACGAGTCAGAAGTCAATAATAAGAAACAATCAATGTGTATACCTAGTTTATTTCTTATCGTAGAGAGATGAACACATTGAAGTTTGAACAACTGACATGAAACATAAGAAAGTCATTGAGTAGAATTTAAATTCTAAGAAAACAAGTTTTAACGTCCTTCGAACAATAATCATCTAATTCCGCCTGGAACCCATTTGGGGTTACTGCCGGTCCCAATCGCCGATAAAGAAGGAGGGTTGGGTATGGAGTTGGTGAATGCTTAACTTTTACACCTCTGAGTTAATATCCAACAGTACTAATGTCGAACAGAAGGTCCTGGTGTGATGGATACCACTTGCAACGTGGCTTATGAGTAGTATACAGATGAATGCCGTCCAGAAGTCAATAATTCTTAAACGAAGTGTCAGCTCGGGATGTTTAGCTCAATCAGAGTGTTTTGAAGACGAGAAGGCCAGTGGAAGAGAATAGCCGACAATCTGCTTTTTTATGTAAATAGAATTCTGAAGATAAGATGTACAGACTTGGCTAGTAAGATATTTTCTTTACACTTATAACTTATTTCATCTAGTCTGAACATCTTTGTTCACCACACTGAGTTCGCACCAAGCATTCAACCCTTTTCAAAACTACATAATCAATAACTTACTCCAGTTACAAATAATTTTCCTGATGGACTATAAATCATTGAAGTGATTGCCAGGGTATGCGGTTTCAATGCTTGTCCAAGATCTAACAAAGCATATTGTTTTGTTCGTCTAGTCAACTCTTCAGGATTTTCACCGAATTTTATCACACGTAATACACCATCTTGATGACCAACAATTAAAATCTTTCCTTTCGGATCAACCTAATTTATGATGACATGAGAAAAAGTGATAAAAATTCATTTAAATCAATCGTCGTGTTTGAGGTAGTGCAAAATCCCTAAATTGATCAGTGTTAGACATGAACATCGTTGGATGCCGCGGGTTTAGTGGTCCAAAGGTTAGGCGTTCGGGCACCAGACTGAAGGTAATAGGTTTAAATGCTGCAAGTAGCAGGAGTCGTTAATATGCACTGCCACTGACGAGTCCCATAATAGGACGAAACGACCTTACAGTGCCCCCGATTTCTTCTAATGGTGATCTAACAACAATCGATTCACGATTTCAGACTTGATTATTAATTACGATCCATTGTTTGATAACAAAAACACGTAGATTTCTAAACATTTATCTGGAATTTCATCAACATTTATACTAAAAGGTGGTGTGCACACTACTTACAAGGTAACTGATGAGTAGTATACGACGGGGATTCACCTGTATGTTTCTGTCAGAGAGAAGCACGTCAGGCGACCGAATTCCAGGGTGTGATATTAGGATATTTGAAGACCAAAAGAGGAATGAGAGAAGACAGTCTACAACCAGCTTGAACTGGAAGAATCTTTATAATGTGAAGAAGTGATCTTTTCTTACATAATCAGATAGCACTAACTTACTACTCCTTCTTTGTTTCTAAAAAACGCTCAGGAAATTCACGTTAGTTAGATATCATCGACAACAGTAACCTAATGTGGCAGAGAACAAACCAATTTGCAGCTGAGTAAGAAATTAGAAAAAACGTTGAGGGCGGATATAATATATATTGCAGAAATCACTCAACTGAATCAAGAGACAAGCTTTAACTTGGAACCTTCACGGTTATAGGAATCAGAGCAGGACCTAAAAACACATTGCGTCGAGAATTGGAGGCAGACGTGAAAAAAACGAATAGCAGAAATCAAGTAGAACTAGAAAGAAAAGTCGACGAATGCTGATGATCAGTGCTCGAATAAGGAGTAATAGGCGTAAGCAAGTAAGTAATCTTAGACAGTTCACATTTTATGATATAAATACTTGATCAAATCAACAATTGTGTACAAATAACCTCCATTGAGATGGTTCTTCACTTTCGACTTCAGTCAATTCTTGATATGATACGACCATTATTATAAGTCAATCAATCAGTCAGTCATAATCAATATACAGTAGCCTAATTTGACGAATCACGTTCTACTATCTGCAACATTGTGGGGTTTGAACTGATAACTGCGTCTCTGTGCTAATGTGGTACGGCGACATGAACTTATGTACGTACGCACGAAATTCTACTCTTTAACTGACTGACTGACTGACTGAAAACAGAAGATGAAGAGTGTATACATCCGCCAAAATGTAACCTGCTTGGAGTAGAACCACCTAATTTCTCCGTTCTCTAATTAGACAGTCTAAATCTACCGACAGACTTCAAACTAACGGTCCGCAACTTTTTCAATGGAGTGATACTATGTTCTGGTTTCATCACCCGTTAGATAGTATGTAACTTATTTCTACTCTAGGAAAGGCTGTTCATTGAGGTAGGAAGTCGTTGATTACAACTGACACACTTCTCAACTATTTCGGATCAGTGGATCTTCACAGTTTGATCTACCAACTTTGTATGATACTCTACAGATAACCTCAACATTAATCACTCGATAGAGCTTCATAATACATGAGTAATGCTTCGGAGGTGCCTAGAATCAACAACCAACCAACTAATGCATAACTTTTCGCTTTCACATATCAACCTAACTTTACAGACAATGGTTTAGTACTGTCACCCATTAACTGACAGCCAGATATCATCACACCTACATCAAATCGTTAAATATTCTAGATGATGATTACTCTACTTACAAAACATGGTTGCTTTATAGTTAGTTGATCGGAAAAAGAAAATAGTATCAAGAAATACAATCTATTTTTTACAAAATAATAATCCCGTTTTTTTTTTATTTACTTGTGATGGACTCCAAACTAGCGATGAACCACCCGATGGAAATCTTCTTGATACAAGAATTTTCTTTTGAACAATATCATAAATACATACTCTACCTAAAATAGAAATATAACACAACACAATCATGATATTGTGGTGCGCGCTACTTATAAGTAGTATATGACGCGAGTGTAAACGTAATGTCTGGCAGCAGAAGATGAGGGAAGATCAAGAAAGGAAGAGTGGGAACACAATGGAATTTGTATGAAATGCATGAATAAGTGAAATGTCAGACAATGGATTGATGATGGATTGAAAGTTTGCAAATTAACGGTTACGATATGGATTTCCTATTTTATTGAGTAACTCTGTAATTTGCGATAAATAGAATTCGGTTGCCCTCAACTGTGTTCTCCTTCACTACAATATGATAAAAAACATCGGTCTATGTAGAAATCAATAGGCTATGTGGGACTGACTGGTCAGCGATGAGTATCCACGACCCCGTAAGTGGGAATCAAAATCAGGAATTTTGGTCTTGCAAGCGATGGATTCCAATGAAACCTAACATTCTCCGCAGCCCCAAACTGACAATTATTATGGGCATACTGGGGACTAGCCTCGTAATTGAATTCTTAAAGTTATGGTAAGAAGCTATGACCCAAATGAAGATAAGCTGTGTCTGTTGTAAGATAATTGTTATCCAGCCTAGATAATGAATGAGGTCCAGCAATATCGTCAACTGAGTGAAACATTTTTTAGATGCCAACTCATGGTCAAAAAGACTAAATGATCGCATGTAAAACTAAAGGTCTTGGGTTCCACTCCCGCCTGTAGCGTCGAAGATGCGCACTACTGATAATTTTTTTACTATGAAAAAACTGCAGTTCACTGCTTCCAGGTTTTCGAAGATGATTTAATACTGATACGTTCATGAACTCGATAGTATTTTACTTCGTTCAGTTTTTATCATTGTTGAAATTTTTATCGATTAAATTACAATCCTCAAAGCATGGTCATCATTCCTGTGGTTGAAGGACATCTGGAATTCGAAATGAATGTCCATAGCCAACAACAAAGTCACAGTTTTCAATGCAAACTTCAAGACAGTTCTACTTTATAGAGTGGCAACTCAGAGAACTACCAAAGCCATCATCCAGAAGATACAAGTGTTCATTAACAGTTGTCTACGCAAAATACTTTAGATCTGTTGACCAGACACCATCAGAAAGAACCTACTTTGGGAGAGAAAATACCAGATTGTAGTAGAGGTGGAAATCAGGAAGAAGCGCTAGAGGTATACAGTACATACATTATGGAAATCACCCAACCGCGTCAAGAGGAAGGCCCTGACTTGGAATCATCAAGGCCAAGCAAGAAATAGAGACAGACATGAGAAAAGTAAGTAAAAATTAGTTAGAACTGGAAAGATAAAGCTCAGAAGAGAGTAGGTTGAAGAATGCTGGTCATTCGGAGTAACAGGAGTTTATTCATTAAGTGAATAAAGAGTTGTCAGTAGAATTTCATCACTTCAGTGAGTGTACTAGCCAATATGACATGGTTTTTAAGGTGTAAACATCTTAAATCTACTAGGTGTCAGTCAGTGACCGAATAAGTGAACGGTAATAAACTTTTTCATCTTAATAATAAATGAGAAAAGTTTGATTTTCAATCCTATTAAAACTGGTTAACATGAAATTGATAAGGGTTAAAAACTAGCATGAAACATAAGGTGAGCTTGTTTACACTATCGTCTATATTCATGTAACACATGAGTAAGTATACTTTGAATGGGGAAGCTCTGAACGGACATTTCATCCTTCTATGGGGTTCGTCAGCAGTGCACATTCACGACTCCTGCTACTCACAGGGTTCGGACCTAGGACCTTCTATCTTGCGTGCTAACGCTAAACCTCTAGACCATTGAGCTGGCATCCAGCGGTTTCAGTGTCTAACTGTAATCAGCCTAACGTATTTCGCAACCTTAACTATTGTCTTCGTTAGTTACTACCTACACCCTAACAGGGTTAAACTCCACTAGTCACACGTCTTCTCGCGAAACCACTGAGAATTTCCTCATGAAGCTAATCACTAGTGAGCCAAATACATCACACTCTATCTTAAATCTACACTATAAATAAAAAAATATAAGTGAAATATACAATTGACGTAAACTATTGTTCAACTCTTGATAATAATAAACCTTTTAACGTAGTATTTGAACCTCTTTTTCTAATCAATCAGATCATTTTTGTGAAATTATCCACCAATCAATAGCTTACCATCAAGACCAACTGTAGCTGCACAATATGAGGAAGGTGATGTTACACAATCAACAATGTCGTTTGCATGAAATTCTTCCAAACATTCTGGTATTAATGAAGTATGTGAAAAAGATAAATCTAATTTCCACACAGCACCATCAGCATCCTTGCAGAGTGAAAGATAGAGGGGGAGAAAAGAAAAGAGTTAAATAGAGTTTATTACATCAGCAAAATGGAATGGACAAACATTCTCACATAAAACTTAAGGTTCTAGGTTCGACTTCAGAGTGTGTGCACACTACAGCTGAAGAGTCCTTTCATACTAGGGACAAAACCACCTGCTAGAGTCTACTACATAAAAGATACCAACAAAATGCAATGGGCAAACATTCTCACATAAAACTAAAGGTTCTGGGCTCGACTGTAGAGTGTATGCGCACTACAGCTGAAGAGTCCTTTCATACTAGGGACAAAACGACCTGGTAATTATTATTAACTAATATATTTATTTATCTATAGCTAAGATCAGTTTTATGATTTCAACTATGAGAATGACATAGAGTATGAGATGAGTTCACTTCAGTTATGTAATCACTCGGTTTTACTACTGAATTATTTTAACTACTATGTTTAAAATGAACTTTGATTTAACAGCTGGTTTTTGTATGTTTATGATTGTCCAACATTTTCTACAACTGTCATCTTATTCTGATTAAATAAAGTAGTGTTATAGTTTAAGTGTGGAAGAGCTATTTAATCCTACTACGGTACTTCTCAGAAGTACACATTTACGAACCGATTAGAGGTTGTCAGTCAGTCAGTTACAACGTACAGAACTAAGGACGAACGTACATCTGTGGCAGTGTTTGTCATTAAAAGATGTACCAAAGAAGTGCACCAGTCGTAGTACTAGCTCTCTGCTCGAACAGTACTGGCTGAGTGACCGTTTATGGCGGACTGTCATGTGAATTGATTACTACAATTGGTGGTCGTCAGCATTGTCAACTTTCTTCATTTATGTCTTACTTTGTCATAGACATGCTTTTAGAGATAACACTGTCGTCTGAATTTTCAGGAGTGGACCTCCTACCAAGAGACTCGCTGGTTGAATTAGAATATGCCGATGACATAGTTCGACTTGCTGAAGACGCTGACAAAATGCAGTCTTCTGACTACCCAAAGCAACAATCCAAGCATGTTCGGGATGCGATTTTCCACCTCGAAACGCAAAATGTTTCTTCAAGATTGGGTTGCATCGGCACCTGAACTAGTGATAGGAAGTGAAGTGGTTGAGTGTTTTGACCGCCTGAAACCCCTACTGGGGCTACTGCCAGCTCCAAGTGTGGATAGAGGAGAAGGATTGTACATGGGGTTGGCGACCACATCCCGTAGAAAACTAACTCACTAAAAACCGCTAACCAGGAAAAATAATTCAAGCGATTCAAACTCTGCCCTAGGAGTGGGAAGGTTGTCCTTTAAAAGAGTCATGACGTCTCATGATGAAAACCGAGTTTCTCAAGAAGTCACGAGGCCAATGCCTCTTCTGACAACCAGAGCCTTTTCACGGTATGGGCAGCCGAGAATTGAGATCCGCCTTCATACTCGTAACAGCACATGACCATAGGTTGAACCTGAGATGGTTCACATTCAATAATTCACATGTCTGATGTAAATTTCCAGAAATCTCTGTAATAAAACGTTTCTCTTGTAAGCAAATAGTTCTTCACAAAATTAAACTGTTTCTAGTTAGTATTACCAACCAGAAACCTTAAATTACTTTCTCATAAATTCATTTTTCTTCTCAAAAGTAAAAAAAATTGTAAATCTTTGTTAGGATATTCATCCAATATCCTAAGAAAATTATTGGTCAATTCCTATTGGTTAATTCCTACTGGTCAATTTTACGATCGTCCTAGATATCAATGTCACTTCAAATATTGCTTCTTATTGGTCGTCTTAACTGTCAATGTCACAGACTTCGATGCTGTTTCCTATTCGACCAAAATGTATAAATACGCATTGTCCGTAACGTTTTATGACCAGGACTCGGTCCCGGATCCCTAGTTCGGGATCCTAATTCTCTTCTGGATTCGGACTTTCTGGATGTTTGTAGAATACAAGTTCTACTTCACATTCAAGCCTTCTTATTCTTACTAAATATGGGGGCTTGGGATAATCGGATTTGAGTAGTATGTCGCGTCACCCGATCATCGATCCTCGCTCTTGTTTTCCGACTAGGCAGTAAATTCGTAATAGTTCAAGTATATCTGAAGTTGACGTGTTTACACGTGCAGGCGTAACAATCTTGGAAATCTTTTATCTCTCGCTTTTCAATAATTTTTAATGATTTTAGTCAATTAAGAAAAAAACAATGCGTTCACATCATCATCACCATCTTTACTTACTTACTTGTGCATACCACATTGTGGAATCTTCCATTGGAATTTTCACAATACGCATTAAATTTGATTTTGTGCCAACATGTAATTCATTCATTGGTTCCAATTCAAATAATTCACCTTCTTCTGATGATTGTGCTGAATCGACAGTTTCAAAATCCCATGTCTATATTCCATAAAATCAATCATTTAGTTAAGTATAAACATTATTCTTCAATCAATAGTAAAATGAATGGAGCTTTCTATGAAAACGAAGTGTGGATGATGGCTAATAGTGGAATCTAGGATGCATATTTCGACTTATTTGGATGGAACGCTGTTAGGATATTCATCCAATATCCTAAGAGAATTATTGCTCAAATTCTATTGGTCGATTTCTATTGGTCAAAATTATGGTCGTTTTAACTGTCAAAGTCAAATACTTCAATGTTGTCTCTTATTAGTCATCCAGACTGTCAATGTCATTTCAAATGTTCTTTCTTATTGGTTATCCTGACTATCAATGTCACTTCAAATGTTACTTCCTATTGGTCGTCTTAACTGTCAATGTCACAGACTTCGATGTTGTTTCCTATTCGACCAAAATGTATAAATACTCACTATCTGTAAAATTTTATGACCAGGACCAGGACCAGGACTCGGTCCCAGATCCCTAGTCTGGGATCCAGATTCTCTTCTGGATTCGGGCCTGGTAATTTCTGAATGCTTGTAGAATACAGGTTCTAGTCCACATTCAAGTCTCCTTATTTTCAATAAATGTAGGTGTTGGGATAATCGGATTTGAGTGGCATGTCGTGTCGCCGGATCTTCTCTCTCGTTTCCCGACTAGGTAAACTCGTAATCGTTCAAGTGTGTCAAGTTGACTTGTTTACGTTCAGGCGTAACAAACGCATCTTTGACTCGATGTACCTTGCATTCCAGAGTTGATATTCACTTTTGGGATTGACAGGATAGTTACTTCTTCTCATGACAGTAGTATTTATTATAATTTATCGATCTGATCAATTTTTGGTCACACTGTTTATAAATATCATATATTTCCAATAACAGTACAGTTACGATGACGTCTGCACATTTGTTTCAGACAAATATTATCAATATCACATAGGTAGTCAATGAAACTTAACAATCATTGAATATTTATTGTCTTTCCTTGACTTAAAGCTCTTCGGTAACGTGAATCAACTACTCTACAGATGACCTGTAGACTGCCTTCTAAATATTACTATTATTATTATTATTTGAGTGTATAATTACTGGTACAAAGAAGCACCTAAATATTTGTGAAAATGTTACACTCGTCAATTGATATGCTTGAAACTATTACGAGTTCCCCTTGTTCGGTAAACGACAACGAAGACAAATGATCCAGTGACATGATAGGCTACTCTAATCCGAGCGTCCCAAGGCCGCACTAAGTAGAGAAAGAAGTATTGACAAGACATAGAAAGTGTATTCTACACACAACCAGAAAACATGAGGTTGACAAACACACACTATCGAGTTTATTTATACATGATAGAGACGTCCTTGGGAGAGCCACAAAAATAGAGTACTAGAATAATACATCAACCAATAATAGTCAAGGATTTTCTGGGTGGGAAATCAAACCCCAAGGTCAGCTGATCTACCCATGCAAAAAAACCACAAAATCCAAAATTAGGACATTAATCATGTGAGTTCTAGGGATCTAATGTCCCAAACGGAAACATATATCATTGAACCTGTTCAAAATATCTTGGTGCCTAAACAAAAGCAGTATTTTTTAGGGAGCCACCCCTCAAGAGCCTTTGACTTACAGGTTTAACCCATTAGGAAATGCAGCAGCGTTGTTAGAGGATAAAGTGTTATAGTAAGCGATGACTAACGGTCTGTTCATCGTGCAGTAGATGGGCACAATTAGTTTAAAAAACCAAGAATTTCTAACTACCCTATATGGATCATCCTCAGTGCTGACCAATTCGTTTTAAGCCCCCGTGGTTGGACAGTCACCTTTCGTCCTGACACTTTCATAAACAAGTCTCTTACCACCTGTGTTGGGGATATTAGATCCCCAGAACTCGCTTGATAAATGTCTTTATTTTGGATTTTATTCATGGACTGATCAGTTGACCTTGAGATCGCATTTCACACCAGGAAAAGCCTTGGCTGTGATTGGTTACTGTGTTATTTTAGTGTGTGCTATTTTTGTGACTGTCCCAAGAACGTCTCTATGGAGTATAAATAAACGCAGTCTGTGTGCTTGGATTCATTGTGTGCTGGCGAGGTGTTTGTAGAATACACTTTCTACACTATATCAAGACTTTTTCGTTAGTACCTTTGGGTCAACGGATCAGAGTAGCCTACCTGGACGCTGGTTCATTGTCACATTCTCATTTATCAACTAAGGTGAACCTGTAATAGTTTCAAGCATACCTAGTGACAAGTATAACAACTTGAAGGCAACTTTTTCAACTAATAATTAACACATCCTCACTCACACGTATCCATCCATCTTGACCAACTGTCACTAGTTCACCTTCTTCCATGATAATTTGCATAATATTACCATTATGACAAGTTCGTTGATCTCGACGTGATATTTGTACTTTGATTAATTCACCTTCCCAAACAAGTAAATTACCCCATGCACAACCAGTAACAACTTTTCCATCTGGTAATGTAACAAATCCTTCAATATCCGATAATTCAATTTTACCAAATTTGCCCAATTTTCCTTGTAATTTTAAACCAGTAAATGTATTAGCCATTTTCCAAAATTTAATATGTCCCAAACCAGCTGTAGTCAATGTACCAGCTAAATCATTTGACCATGCAACACGATAAATATCTTGTGAAAATGCTTTAGCTCTTAATACAATCTGTTCATTTCTCCAATCCCATAAAGTGAATGTATAATCTGGATCTGAGCCAACTGTTGCAAGCATTTCATCATCTGGGCTAGATAATAAATATATAATAAAAACCAATGTTATCTTTTTTAAATAATGGTTTATTGCAACCCCCCTTATAAGAGAAAATTTCATTACAGTTTTCTTTTTATTGACTTGTATGTCAACAGAGTAAGCAACCTTGCCTGACACCGGTCTTCACCTCGAAAGAGTCTGTTAACTGTCCTTCGTGTACGATTTTGCAGTTGAATCCATCATAAGAATTCCGTATGATGTTGACTGTTTCCTCAACACTACGGTGTGCCTGGGAAAATAGTTAACATCATACGGAATTCTTATGATGGATTCAACTGCAAAATCGTACACGAAGGACAGTTAACAGACTCTTTCGAGGTAAAGACCGGTGTCAGGCAAGGTTGCTTACTCTTACCCTTTCTCTTTCTCATGGTGATCGACTGGATTATGAAGACGTCAACATAAGGAGGGAAGCACGGTATCAACTGGACAGTTAGGACGCAGCTGGACGATCTGGACTTCGCAGATGACCTGGCTCTTCTATCGCACACTCAACAACAAATGTAAGAGAAGAAGACCAATGTAGCAGCAGCAGGTCTCAACATACATAAAGGAAAAGAGCGAAATTCTCCGATGCAACACAACATGCACCAACCAAATCACTCTTGATGGAAATGCTTTCGAGGACGTTAACAACTTTACATATCTGGGTAGCATCATCGACGAGAAAGGTGGATCCAATGCAGACGTGAGTACGCGGATCGGCAAAGCAAGGGCTGCATTTCTACAGTTGAAAAATATCTGGAACTCCAAACAAATATCAGTCAACACCAAAATCATGATTTTCAATACAAATGTGAAGACAGTTCTACTGTATGGAGCAGAAACATGGAGAACTACGAAAGCCACCATCCACAAGATACAAGTGTTCATTAACAGTTGTCTACGCAAAATACTGAAGATCCGTTGGCCAGACACCATCAGCAACAACGAACTGTGGGAGAGAACAAACCAGGTTCCAGTGGAGGAGGAAATCAGGAAGAAGCGGTGGAAGTGGATAGGACACACACTACGAAAAGCACTTAACTGTGTCACGAGACAAGCCCTCACATGGAACTCTTAAGGCAAAAGGAAAAGAGGAAGGCCAAGGAACATATTACACCGAGAAATAGAGAAAGATATGAGAAGAATGAACAGTGATTGAACAGAACTGGAAAGGGAAGCCGAGGACAGAGTTGGTTGGATAAAACTGGTTGGCGGCCTATTCTCCATTGAGGGTAACAGGCGTAAGTAAGTAAGCAAGTATGTCAACAGATACTTGCTAGTAGGATAATATCAACGAACTTACCAACAATTTCAAACAAAACAAGTTTGCACTATGCATTGAAAATGACTCTGTTAAGGTGCAATGTTTGAGAGAGAAATGTCGATCACGAAAGTAAACCTAGTCATTATCGACTCGTACAAAGTAAATCAACTAGAGTGCATGAGGTAGATGGGAAAAATGTGATTTAAAAGTTTCTCCATACTGACAACGGGCATTTAATTGTTACTAAAATTTTGAAAACATTTTCTGGTTGACATAAAATACATTGACGAACCAGTCAGGATTAAGAAAGTCACCTCAAGGTCATGGCACCCAAATCAAACTGTCATGTTGACTGGGTTTTGGCTAATTCCAGTGAATAAATCCACATGTGAATTCGAAAATGAATTAGAGAAATGGCTAGAAGAGTAAAGTTTCTAAAAAAATGTTGAGATTTGAGGACAGGATTCAGTTTAGGATTGAGATTCAATCAGAATCACGACTTACTTTTATGATATTTGGCTTAGAATAAGGCTAGACAGTTATGAGTTAGGTATCTGGATTAGTATATAAGTATTAGGTTGTTGAGTTTAAATGTTAGCGGTTATGATATTGTGAAAATTCATCCTAAACCATAAGTGGCTAACTTTGACCGATTCAAGAACTCAATTGAATCAAACAATCTTCATAATTGAATAGTGAGAAAAACATGTAGCCGCCAACTTAGAAAAGGTTATCAATCATTCAGAAAAATCAATACATTCTAAGTAAATCCTTTCATTTCCTAGTGTCTCTTTTTTTCTGATTGACTAAACTGGTTCATGATCTCAAGTTTATTCTACAAATGTACTTTTCACAGATAAATATGATTGGCTGTTAAATCGAATTTAGGGGATTTTTATTGAAAACCACCTTCACATAATAAATATATATGATCTTGAACAGCGATAAATGATTACATCTTTAAACTTATTAAAATGTATTAGATTAGCTAAGTGGGAAAAAAGCTGAAAGTACATGATTAAAACATTTGAATTTCAATTAAAACGTTACAAAAAGTTGATTGATCATTGATCAATGACTATTGGAATGTTTGATGTTGTATGGGGCGGAAACTTGGAGAACAAATATAGGCATCAGACACAAGATATAAGTGTTTATTAACAGTTGTCTAAGCAAAATACTTTGGATTCGTTGGCCAGACACTATCAGCAACAACGTACTGTGTGAGAGAACAAACCAGATTCCAGCGGAGGAGGAAATCAAGAAGCGCTGTAAATGGATAGGACATACATCAAGGGAAGCTCCCAACTGCATTGCAAAAGAAGCACTCATTTGAAATCCTGAGGGCCAGAAGAAAATACGAAGGCCTTCGGTCTTGCGCACGAACGCCTAACCTTGGACCACTGAACCGGTATCTAACGGTGTTAATGTCTAACTTCGATCAGTTCACGGAGTTGCGCAACCTCATACACTGTCCTCGGTGGTTACTGTCTGCACCCGAACACCTTGAACTTCACTGGTCACGACTTCCCACTAGGACTCGGAGAAGATTCCTCACGGAGCTAATCACTTGTGAGCACATTTAATTATATTACGGGGTTGTGAAGATTGTTAAGTTACACATTTTAAATCATAAATCGATCAAAGTTAGAACACCATTAGAAACCTGGAAGCACTGGATGGCCGTTTCGTCCTGGTATGGGATTAATCAGCAGTAAGTATTCAGTTTTCTATCAGGACTTCTAATTAACTTCAAGCATTTTTAGGGCTCAAATACTGTCAATTCTTCCTTCATTAATCATAACAACCAAGTTATTTATCTCTGCACTTTAAATTTAAACTAAAATCGGTGTGATTAGTACTCGCAAACTACAATCGGTGTGATTAGTACTATCTTCATTCGGATTGGTCCACTCAAGGTCGTCAGTATGTTATTCCTTTTACTGAAAGTAGTTTCTTTTTTGAATATTAAGTTTAATAATTTGTTCGGATATTCATCCAATATCCTAAAAGAATTATTGGTCAATTCCTATTGGTTAATTTCTACTGGTCAATTTTATGGTCGTCCTAGTAGATATCAATGTCACGTGCTCCAATGTTGTTTCTTATTGGTCATCCTGACTATCAATGTCACTTCAAATGTTGTTTCCTATTGGTCGTCTCAGCTGTCAATGTCACAGACTTCGATGTATAAATAAGCATTATGTGTGATGATTTATGACCAGGACCAGGACTCGGTCCTCGATCCGTAGTCCGGGATCCGGATTCTATTCTGAATTCGGACCTCAAACTTTCTGGATGCTTGTAGAATACAGGTTCTACTACATATCGTCTTATTTTTACTCAATATGGGGTTGGTATAATCGGATTTGAGTAGCATGTCGTGTCACCGGATCCTCGAACCTCGCTCTCGTTTTCCGACTAGGTAGTAAACTCGTAATAGTTCTAGTATATCTCAAGTTGACGTGTTTACACGTACAGGCGTAACATATTTTTCAACAACAACAACCAAATCAAAAGAAATATAAACAAACACCTACCTACCTAAATTGACATGCAGAATAACCAATCACTGTACCTTGTCTTAACAGACGATATAATTTCAATTCAGGATATTGATAAATGCATACATTGGGCATATCACCTTTTTCAGCCAGTACAATAAATTTGTACTGTGAATCTATACAAATTGCACCGATACCAACACCACTAATTGAACGAATCATGCATTTTTCATGTGTATCAATATTTAAAATTTGTAAATAATTACCAAATATATGACATATAATATTACATGTTAATAAATGTAAATTATCTCGACGTGTTACATCCATACCGAATAGATGATAAACTTTGATTAGATTTATTGGTATACCAGAATTTGGTAAAATGATTGGATATGCAATACATTCATCATAATGATAAAAAAAATCAGGATCCATAATTTTTTTGGTTGATTGTTTATTTTGTTTATCATCAGCAGGAGTTTCATCCGGTTGTTGTGGCGGTTGTGGTGATTGTTCCTGTTTTTGTTTCTGTTCAGTGATGTTATCTGTCGGGTTGGTGTTTTCCGGCTCCACACCTTGTTCATCAGAAGGTATGGATTGTGTGATTGGTGAATTGTCTCCATCTTTTTCTTTATCCTCAGCGGTCGCTTCATTGTTCACTTCACTAGTACTTGGCATTTCTTGATTCTCATTATCTAATTATATATATACACACATAAAGATAATGAATTTTTTGAAAAAAAATTACCAACTGGTGAAGAAGAAGTTTCATTATTATTCACTGGTACTGCGAGAAGTTCATCTGACTGTTCAACTTCTTTTTGTTCCGTATCAAAGTGATCTTCTTCTTGATCAGACATTTTTAATATTCAGATGGAAATACATTTCTAGATAAACATAATAACATATTTATCAAAATGAAACCATTCTTGCATTTGAAAAAAAAATGGTTTATTTTAAAATTCAAGTATAAAATTACGAAAAACTATTTATTTATTAGTTGAAAAATAATGTTCTTCTATTCTAAGAAGAATATAACTCGGGCGGTTTCTGAATAAATAAATGCCATAAAGATTAATGTGGTATAGGCGTAGGATGGAAGAAAGATAGGGGTGGCCAAACAAAAACATGGCACAAATCCATGAAGTCATTGACAAGTGAACTGAGTCATGTTGGCAGATGTAGGCTACCACCTGGTTAGGGTCCGCGAGACAATAGTCACCAATGTTTCGGGACCTTGAACGATATGGTTCAGAATTGTTTGCAATGGCGCAGGTGCATCCACTCTTTGTGTGCTTTTTAATTCTCAACTGAATTCCCCATCATCTCTCTCTTTCCCCTTCTAAATTTATCTTACTGAATTATACTTCTCGAATCATTTCTTCGCTCCCTTATCTTCTCTATTACTGCTATTACTTCTACTATCACTATCACTCTTGGATTTGAACTGACAGTTACGTGTCTTTGCTGACGTGGTATGGCAACCTGAACTGATGTACTTATGTACGAAGTTCTGTGTTGTATCTGTCTGTCTGTCTGTAAAGATGTTGTCATCAGAAATTCAATTCGAGAATTTTTTAATATCTTACGAAGATTACTGAAAACACAATGTATGATTTTGATAGAATAGTATGAGAAGACATAATTGATCTGTAAAATGTTGTGATATATATTTGCGCGCCATACATTTCGAACAATTTGGTCACATATATGTGCACTTGTCAAGGTATTTTATGTATGGAGATTAATAAATGTGGGAAATAGAAAACCATGTTCATCGACTGCAAAACATGTAAGTGAGACAAAGTATAAGATTGACATCAAGATAGCCTTCAAAATATTGTATAGACATGTTGAAAGACTAAATTTGAGGTTTACGTAAGCCTTGGCTATTCGTAAATTTATACTCCCGCTTAGGTGTACAGAAATAATTTGTTATAACCTTTCATTTACCCTGGTAATCTTCAAGCCCAAGGTTATGTGACACTTTACTACCCTTTCTTATATTTTCCAAATATAACGTTCATTTTCTCTCTCATTTATTTACAATGATCACCTTATGTCTATTTGAACTTGACACTTGTATATGTGTGATCGGATTGTTCGAAATGTATAGCGCACAAATACATCACAACATTTTACAGATCAATTACCATCTTCTCACTTTTCTATCAAAATTTATATAAGGGACTAATTGTTCTGAATTCCTGACAATGTATAATGGTTTTTAAATGAAAGTTTCGCTTAAATTATAAAAACATATATATAAACTCAAAAATTACTCCGAAATGTACATTCGCCAATTACAATAGGTATCTTTCACACAAGTTTAAGGCCGGATATTTATCAATGACAGCATTGGCTGAGAATTATATTATCCAATTCAGTAGACAAAAGCAACAGTCAGGGACTGCTGGAACTCAAGTCATTGGTTCAAAGGTATACTAGTCTTGGAACCTTCATATATTTGATTCCATTCCATATGGGATGGTATTTGAAGCGCTATCGATAATTCCTAAACTAAGGTCATACAAATATTTAGTGCTTTCTGACTTTTAATAGTTCTTACGCATTTGAAATCATCAGTCAGTCGTTGTTAGACCTACATTGGGAACCTAAAAGTACTGGATGGCCGTTTCGTCCTGTTATGGGACTCATCAGCAGTGCGCATCCACAACTCCTGCACCTCATGGGATTCGAGCCCGGGACCTTCGGTCTAGTGCGCGAACGTCCAGAGATTAGACGAAATGCCAACAAAACGGCCGTCTTTCAGTGCTTTCAGGTTTCTAATGATGGTCTAACAATGACTGACTGATGATTTTAAATGTGTAAAAACACTAATCTCTATAACTCTAATGGAAAATATTTTAAAAGTTCATTCCACTGATGTCATTATGCCAACCCATTGATTTTAGAAGGAGGTTAACCGCTCATTTAGACGGAATACTATAGTCAGCAATTATGCTGTTGCTAGTGATAAAACACTAAATTTTTACATTTTCCCATCGTGCCTTTTGTTTTTTCTCTGTTAATTGTGAAATTTCAGATACATTCGTTTTATTCAGTACAGTGAGAATTCAACTGCAAACTGTCCAAAGAGGGTTTTAGACTTTCTTCATCTGTGGGACAACTACTTTACGTTAGCATTTCAGGCTTTTATTTTTCGACAGCTTAAACACAAGATCCAAAGTTACATTAATTATTCTTTTACTGCAACAGATAGCATATTTTGTAGAGGATAATGTTTAAGGTGTATGCTTTTCCGAAGGAATAATTAGAAAAGGCTTTATACAGCGTTAAAAAAGATTTAACAGTTTTGGTATGGCTGTATAGCTTTTCTTTGCTATTTCTGGGTATTTGAACATTAATGAGTAAGAGTAAAGTCCAAAATGGCAGCTGTAGCAGTAAAATTCAAGAATACACCTAGGATGCTTACCATTCGGGAGTGACGTGAGCTTTAAATTTTAATCAGTATGATAGGGTTTGACTTTGGCTTGATGTAACAATTATACTACTTGTGTTATTCTATGTGGAACCCGTCTATCCTTAGCATTAGCCCTGTGTATCTTTTAATTTATATAATGTTCACCAGCTAAACATCAAGCATGTGTATAAATAAGTACATTTACCATTATAATGACAAGATTTTGGGCGAATTTTTCCTAAAAATTTGTTTTGTTGGAGTGAATAAAGCCTTACTTTTGCTAGCAACTGTAATGATCTCCATTTCCACATATAAAATGTGTCCGAGCCGAGACAATGAATATGGATATCATCTTAGGATATGTTAGTTTATCATAACCTATTGTTGAAATCCGGTTGACATGATTGATGATCAGTCTGAGCTTTGCAATTAGTTTTCAAACTTCTCTTATTCTAGTCTAGCTAAAAAGTATTTTTATATTTTCTTTTTAATCTAAATACATTCTGATAAACCCGTATTTTATTATTAGGTCTCTAATGCAACAGATATTACTATTCTCTGATCATTTGTTTACCGTCTAGTTGGTTTTACTTTTTAGCGTAGTGTTTAAAATTTATAATAACTATGTTCTTGTCACGTCTTCTAGTTAGTATGCATGTTCCATGGTGAATGTTCTGTTCATTCCTAAAACCATGTTGGTGATGATGATGACTCGTCGAGCTTTGTTTTGTAGTGTAGGAATAGGTTGGTAGAAAGTTACGGGCGGCCAAACCAAAACATGGCAAAAATCCATGAAGTCATTGACGAGTGGACTTAGCCATGTCGTTAATTGTCGACTACCTGGTTGGGGACGGCGAGATGATAATAATCTACGGTTAGAGACCCTTAATGACATGGCTCAAAATCGTTCGCAATGGCGTCGGTGCATTTATTCTTTGTGTTCTCTCAAATCCTAATCTTCTGGATTCTTCAACCCCTCTAGTTTTGACTTTCTAAACTTTTCTCACTGAATCATACATCTTGAATAATATCTTCTAATCCTAACCCCTCCGATTACTTCTAATACCTTTACTACCTCTTCTACTATTGGATTTGAAATGACAATTACATCTCTGTGTTGATGTGGTATGGCGACATGAACTGATGTACTTACGTACGAAGTTCTACGTTGCAACTGACTGATGATGATGATAAAATGGCCTGTAACTGGTCATTCTGTCTAAAAACTAAGAAAACATAATCTATAGATTTAAAAAATTGGTGTTCACTATTTATAGAACTAACAATTTCTTCATATCAGTGACTACACTCACTTTTTCAAATGCATATGATTTTGTAAGACATTACAGACATGTTTTCAAACCGTGTTTAGTTCCATGAAACGTTAACGATTAGGAAATGTCATTAAAGAATAACACAAAGCCTATTACGTATCTTGGATATCTTAGTTAATGAAAGCTTGAACTTACACTTAAAATGATGACGTGCACAGAAAATCTGTCTGTTGTTTAATTATATGTAAACTATGACTTTATTATATCTGAATCAATTACTTTCAGCATGTATGTTTTCTGAATCAATTCAAACATATCTGGACTGGAAGTAAAGGAAAACATGAGATACTACCATATGATTGCTGGTGAACTGAACGTGAATGCAAAAATGTTGACAACTTGGAATAAGTTTGGACGATAAAGTGATGATTCAGCCACATTTCCAACACAGCAAAAAAATTAGAAACTTGTATCTGTTGACTCATGACAGAAGGAAAAAGACCACTTGTCACGTTTTCTCCCCTATTTCTAACTTTCATTCAGAATTAATGTTCATTTAATTCTCCATTTTTGGTTACTCAGGGTATATAAAAAATTATATGCTCTCAGTCGAAAGATACAGATTAAGTAAATCGCATCGGTCACTTAGTTGCTATAACACTCAAAAGTGAAAAAAAAGAACAGTAAAACTGTAATAATCAAAATTTATCCAGATAGTATGTTAAAATATCCCTATCTTATCACGATATCCAATTTCTTAGTCCTAATGAGAATAGAAGACCATTTTGAATTAGATTTTAGATCCTAGGTTTTAAAACATAAGCCTTTATTTGTACGTGTAATAATAAGATTCATCAGAGAAACTTACCAAATTAACAGAAAAGGTGTAAAATATGAATGGAAATAAATGTGCCTCTGTAGAGAATGATTCAAATTAGTACCAAGATGCCAAAACCTTGGAGTCATGGAAACCATTGAAATTATTTGACATTTCAATTACCAATTATTTCTGTATTCATTAGTCGTGGACTCCAGGTTTCAGTATCACTATGGAAAGTAAAAGAAACCGGCTGGCCGCTGTCATTCCTGGTAAAGGTGATTTATCAAGGGATTCAAGTTTCTCTTGAATGACAGCTCCTTACGAATAACTTTCCTAGAATTTTTCCAACCATTATGGTTATACTTGCATGTCGATAGTTCACCGGTTAGTGTAATGTGCCCGTTCTGAAGGAAGTAATCATTCACTGCCAAAGACTTACCATCCGAAGCATTAAAAATGTATGGACTTTCTCAGCATTTACTCGTCGTTCTAGTATTTTTCTGCTCCTAGTTTCTTATTCGATCTGCATACGACACTTATTTGCGAGAAAATGTGATAATATCTTCAGTTGATATCCATTCTGTATGATCATATTCCTATTACTGGGATATCTGAATCCTAATTTTGGCATTCTGCTTTGATTCTCTTTGGAGTCTGTTAAGTTTCCAAAATTAGAGACTTTCAGCCAGGTAATCATGAGGATGTCTTAATTGGTCAGCTGTTTTAGTAGACCCTTTTCCAACTTGATTTCATGCTTATAGCTTATCCTGGGCTCAATTTTTTCATTATTGTTGACACTGTGAAAGAAAACTGACCTGTCACTGCCATCAAACTTTGGTCTCCAGACTGCTGGTAAAGAGACCAGAGTTTCTTTGGTGATAATAGGTCCTTTTTGTCTTCTCACTCGTACCTAGTCATCAACCCTTACATTAGTAGCAATCGAAACATCGTCGCACACTAGGAGGTATCGGATGGCAGTCAGTAACTTAAGAGATCAGGTGATGAATTTCATTGTTTCTCCGGTGAGAACCGAATCCAGGTTTACGAACAAATTTTCCAGGCGTTTCCATAAAGTTTAAAGTTGGACGGCAAGGTACATAAAAAACCCGCTTTCTTGAGATGTCACTACCGATAGTCTCTTTTTTTCCTTTGGCCCATTGAGGTGCCTCAAGTCAGGGTTGGCTATGAAAATGACTATAAACCAGTTACGTTCTAATCTTCACGCGTTCTCCTGTCGTAAACCAAAAATAGAGAAGAAGAGGTAATCCAAATGAAGGAGTATATTTGCTGGCGATTTCGGATTATCGAAAGAATGCCGACACCGCGCCACAGAAAACGTGTGAAGTTACAGAGCACCAAAAACAAGATGGCAACAACGCAAAGCGGAAATTGCTCGTGCAGAAGTGTCAGTAAACAAGAAGTTCGATAAAACAATCACCGATACAATAGCTTATAATAATGGATGCTTCTATTCGGCCAATCGCATTTTCCTTGTAGAAAAAGGATTAACTACACCGTGTAAGGTAGTCCATTGTTAGCTCATTTGGTATGACTGCATATCGATTTGTGTATCAACGAACATTATCTGAACCACATAGGCTATGCTCACTACCACTATGAAGTGTCCGAATAGCTAATATCTCTCCATAACCTTATTTACAATAACCGTTAATATGGCTGCAGCAGACTAAGTAAATTGATTACCAGGTAAATGGGCCAAATTAGATGGTTGTGTTAGTTCAAACCTCATAAAATATCACAAAACGTCTAGGTAATGTCGGTATTCGAATATAAAATCTATTGTACAGTAAATAGCTTTGCCGTTACAGATCCTGATGTAGAATACCTAACTTAACCAAGCCATAGAAAATGTTGGTTACGCTACGAAAAGTAAGAGAAATGGATTACCCTAGCCTTCAGTGTAAAGGTGTCAATATATAGAAAAGCATAAGGAACGGAATACTGCACAAAGCTAGAGTAAATTGGAATACTGAGTTATTCTAACCCTCAAAATTAACTCGTTTTAAAGAGGAACCAATACTGTAAATCTTCTGGAGCTACCTCAAGTAACGAAAATAATTATCATACATAGGGTAAACCAAACTCTATAATTCAGTCTGGATTTATCATGTGAAAGTCAATGCTACTTGTGTCCAGTGAGTCTGATGTGTTCATTATCAATGTCTAAGACATACGGAAGTGTTGGTTTTTGAGACTTACTTCCCAATACAAGCTAACCAGTTGTTGCAAGTGATGCGCAGCCCGGTGTATCAAAAAGTCATCACGTGCAGATATCTGTCGGACGCCTTCAGTTAATCATATATCTCGTAAAATGCAGGATGTTGGGATTTATGTTTAGGATTCGGGAAACTATTAATTTCGGGGATTTTATGCAAAACAATAGAAAGTTTCATGTCAATCTCGCATTCCATAAGGCAACACTTGGAAAGCCCGGTGTTGTCAGGTTGTTTGTCCTTTCAAATGAGGTTCGTTCGAATCGAAATTGTTGACTGCTTATATATGAACGGTGCAAGATTACCGAAAAAATGGACGAGTTGTGTAAGCTAAACAACGTTAACATGCGTATATTCCCTAATTACTAACTAGGGGTAGGCAATAGTAGGTTTATATGTTGTGTTGCAATGGAAAAAATGAATTTGTAGGCAGGATGGATCTGCATCTACAATCCTACTAGTTGGCACCTTAAGTGTACACGTAAGAGGTTTTCAATAATAACTAATCCTTTTGGTGATCAATAAGATTACTTGATTCCCCACTACATATAGTTCCAATCATCTACAAAATATATTCTGCTGACGTTTTGTGCGAAAGCAACCTTCTGAAGAGATTGATTGACACGGATACACTCATATCTTAATTTAAAATGACTTCAATTTACCTAGAATTAACTTTGTTGACACACACACATGATAGAGCTAATAACTTTGGGATTTGTCGAAAATTTGAATTTAGCAACTCGATCGAGAAATAATCAGATGATATCACTCTTGGACTACATATTTATGAACATAGAAATTCTGACTGAATTTTTTTCAATCCTGGTTCGTTTAAGAAGAGGCTGTCATCCCATCAGAGGGTTCAACTTCATTAACAAATAAGCCTTGCATCTCATAACGGCTGGACTGGTCCGGTTTGAAAGACAGTGCTATGTGAAGGTTCACTGAGATTTCTTGCTAAACATAACCTTTCGTGCTATGAACTAGTCCGTCTCAAAAATGCCAACGTCTCCAAAAGTTATGGAGTCCTTTATATGTGATGGTTTATACGACTGATGTTCACAAACTTCTCTTCTCCTCAGCAACCTGGTTTTGGTAAGGGGCTCTCACCTATCACCAAAATTCTTACTGCAACGGAAAGATGGAAAACCATCTATAGCGAATTGAATAATATAATAATAATAATATATTTATTCTCAAATAACTACGTTACAAGAGTCACGCCAGTTTACAGGCTAGATCAAATTGTCACAAATGCTTTCACAATTACTGTAAAGTTATAGCAGTTAAATTAAGTATAAGAGTCATTTTATGATTGCATATTTATACCATGTCACTGACAGAAACATTATTATACAGCCACATTTTCAATAGTAGAGTACAAATAAGGAAGGAAGGTGCACAATAGGTTCTTTTGGCGATTTGCCGAGATCAATAGTGAGATTGTTGGGAAAGGTCATATGGAACGCGCTTGATACGAGCTGTGATCCAGACAGTCATGTACCTAGTGTGCATGTTCCCTAGAGTCGCCAAGGATTTCCCACCGTTAATGGGGTTCTGAAAAGGAGAAGAGAGAGAGAAAAAGGCAGCAGTGTGGCAAGTGTATATATATAACCAAAGCACTACTTAACCTGTCATGTTGAAGTAGTCAAGACTACACGGGATAACAAACGTTAATCGAGTTACTTCGAAATTCAGATAAAAGACGATTCTAGAGGAAGAAGTATATTTAAAGCTAGCCTCGTGATATCGAAATAATACCGAGGCCAGACGGTGTAAAAACAGCTAAAGTCCACGCATGATATGCGCGAAGGAATAGAATCGGGAAGACACGCTTAGCGCGCGTGAGATAGTCTTTAGTACAGATAAACAAAAGGTGTACAGTATAACAACTATTGTCAGACTGGTTAACTCCATTCTTTAACTTTCCTTCGTCTACAGAATTTTCTAGATGAATCCATAGAGATTTGTTACTAGGATCTCTTTTCATTTCGATTTATATAAGCGATGTTCCACAGAAAGTATTTTCTGAACTGTTAACTAACGCCGAAAATGTTAAAATTCAGAACAAAGCTTACAGTCAAGAACATAAACTGTCTCTTCAGGAGGATCTGACTTGACTTCAAAATTAGTTGAATGAAAAAATTTTATAGTGCAAAGTAGTTCATCCGAGATATTTTGCGGACTATTTATATAAATAAGGTAACCGTTCTGTAGAGATGTCTTACTCAGAAAAAGATTTACGTTTTAGCTCCTTATTATATAAAGTCTGGTGCCAATTGTAACAAAAATAACCGAAGAGCAAGCCTTGCACTAGTAACAGTAAAAGCGCAATTTTAGCCATTTCGATAGTAGAACCTTTCACCTACTCTTTAACAGCATGATTCCGCCCCATTGAAAGCATCGAATATAGTATTTCCGAAATTATTCCAAAAAATAAAAGATTTCGCTAAAAAGTATTTAACTTAGAGTCATGAAATTAGCTCGAGGCCTTGTATTCGAAACTTACGAAGAGATCCTGAATTCGCTAGACCTATATCTGATGGAGTGTCAACGTACCAGAAGTGACCTTCAGACTAATCACAACATTCTAAGCGCTACTGAGGAATCCCTGAATCTATTACTTCAGCTAAGTCTCAACCATCAGTACCCAGAATCTAGAGGCACAACAGCAGCATGGACTGTAGCGACACCCTTTCTTCCCTTACTACAGTGAAATTCTGGAACCTGTTTGAGGCTGAGATGGTGCAAGCAATCTCCTAAGAGTTTCGAAAAGTAACTTGGGACTTCGAATTTGACGTGTCCTCGCTGACTGTCTTCCATTTACGGAAAACAATCCACTTTCTGGATACTTTATCACCTCCGAAGCTATAAAAAATTGTCTCCATTCATTGGTTGACAATCTGAAAACAT